AGGCAAAGAAAAGAGTTGCAGGATGGGTTTCATTGTTTGCTCCAAAGCTACAAGAAATATTATTTCATGAGATATTTGGTCATCCCATTCTGCTGTATCAATGATAAATATTTGCAAAAAGACCATTATGGACATAATTGAAGCTTATAGGCCAACATCAGTTGCTCAGGATTAAGTTGAGGAGAAATCCTATGACAAATTTGATAAGACCCTCCAGATAAAATCAACATGAACTCTGTACTGATGAATTCAGTACAAGAGTGGGGAAAAGTAAGAATAGGGAAAAATACATGGGAAAGTATGATTCAGAAGGAAGAAATGAGAAAGGCCAAGGCCTTGTAGACTATGAAGAACCCTCAAGTATCTATATTGTAAATACTGTCTTCAGAAAAAAATAATTTTGAGCATTGAACATGGCAAGCACCAACTAATATCTCAGGGAATGAAATTGACTACATTTTAACAGATAAGAAAAGACTTTTTGTGATTATGGGAGTCAGCTCAGTCAGTTGGTGGTGCATAGTTAGCCTATTAACTTGTTGGAGCTAAGATGAGAATTCATAATAAATGAGGGGGAAGAATACTAATGAGAAAAAAATAGATGATAGACAATTGAGGTTTAACCCTGAATAATTTAAGCAAGCTATTAGAAAAAAAAGGAAGATGGACAACAGAAATGACATCAACACTGATTATAGTAATTTTATTTGAAAGCTAAACCAATGTAAGTTAATTGCCACTGAGAGAATGGCCCTGACTAAGGGCCCTTAGTCAGCAAACATTTTATTTACTTTCTAAATAGAGAGAGACAGCTTCCAAAGACAATACTGGGCTGGAATATTAACTCATCTGTAACTCATATATAGAAGGAATATTGATGATTATGAGTGTCCTTGTCTCATAAAACAGAGAGAAACACTGTAGGATAGAAATAGTCTAAAGAAAGCTTGGCAAGATATTCAACTAAGCAATCATCCCAAGGACATTCAAGCATGAGAATAGAAAGAGGACTACAAATAGAAGAAAATGGAAAAGATTTGCAAAAACAATGAACTGCTTTGTTTATCAAGTATAATGGAAGCACCATACTCAGAGACTAACATCACAATTACTGAAGAACTTACAGAGGAAAAGAAATGGCCTTGAAAAGAACAAGATGATAAAAATAGCCTAGTTGGATAGAAGAGATCCATGCTGGTAGTGACATGGCTTTGAAGGCACTGAGGGACCAAGTTGTAAGATATCCATTGAGGGGAAGATATTAAAAGTATGGGAGGGGAGGGAAATCTCAGATGTTATTGGTAACCAGAAAAATGACCAAAAGAACATGAACAACTACCAATTATACCATTTATATAAAGTCTTTATAAGAGTTACCTATACATGAATTAAGAGCATCTTCAATGAGAGTATTAGCAGGGAACACCTCATAATTAATGGAAAGATGTAGAGAACATAAGATCTCATCGTGCAGACTGTTTTGATGATGTAAAAAGCATTCAAAGGGCAGCTAGGTGGTGCAGTAAATAGAGCACTGGCCCTGAAGTCAGGAGAACCTGAGTTCAAATCCGGCCTCAGACCAAACACTTGACACTAGCTGTGTGACCGTGGGCAAGTCACTTAACCCCAATTGCCTTAAAAAAAAAGCACTCAACTTGGTGGAACAAAATGTATTTTTACAGGCGCTTTTACTGCAAGAGATTTCTGATCCATATATCAAGATCACTCATGACTCCTTGGAAAATGTAATAACAAAAGTAACCCTCTTCAATGACTTTTTGATAATAAACACCAGGTGAAGCATAAAACAGGGAGGTGTAAGCTTGCCAAAAATCTTCATCTGTGATAGAATGAATAGAGTGCAGTGACCAGGTTGAGGAGGGTGAATGGTGAGTACTCCAGATTTTCTTGTTCATGGAAAATATTGTGTTGATTGTATCAAGTCTCAAGACATTGCAGAGCTTCTGGAAAGAGATCTGTTATCACTCAAAGAGCTTGGCCAATATACCCATATGGGAAACACCAAATGGATAAACAAGGTCTATTGTCTAGATTTCAACATGAATCTGAATGGACAACCTATAGCGCTTGTCCAACAATATGTATTTATGGGACACACAATATAGATGGACAATGAATTAGGCGTAACTGAAAAGGAGGATAGTGAGCTAGATTTCTTTTGGAAAATTGCAAAACACTTTTACTTCTTATAATATCCGAGCTTCCCATAATGAAGAGGTCCATCTTCTCAACATAAGCATTTTACCAGAGTGAGACATGGAAAGCCACTGCCCCTGAAGAAATAAAGATGAGCATCCCACAGAGGGTAATGGAAAAGTATGTAATAAATGTGACCAGGCAGCAACCTATAGCGTAAACGTGAAGAATAGGAGCAAATTATGTAATCAGAGCATTGTATGACAAAAAGAGAAGATGATCTGGTCACATGGTAAGGGCAAGGGGGTGACAGTTGAACAACCCAAATGCTCCACGAGTATACTCATGGTTTCGGGAAAAATTGAGGAAGGCTTCCAACATGGTGAGTGAACCCCCAGTAGTGAATTTTTGTAAAGATATGTATGCAAATTGCACAGAATGGGGCAGGCATGGATTGGTTGTGATCTGTTAATTTTAGAGGGAACTCCTGAATTTATGAGAACCTAGGTCCATTTGAGAGTTGAGTATTTGGCTAGATTATGTGAAGGGGACTAATACGTTAAAAAAAACCAAACAAACCTGGAAAGGCAGGCTGTGTCTAAGTTGTGAAGGGTTTTAAATGCCAACAAGAAGAGTTTATTTATATTTTATCCTAGAGGCAATAGAGAGCCACTGCAATTTCAGGCAAAACTTCTACTCCCACCTGCTGCCTGGTGCTTGAGGGAAAGCAGATGGGTCCCAATCTGCAATGTCTGTACAAAAAGCTCCTTTCTATTGACCCCATTTCTTCTTGGCAGCACTTAAAGTAAGGAGATATCCTTGTGAGAATGTCTAAAATCATATTAGAAGAATACCCTGTTAGAGTCAGAGATCACAAAAGTTTGCTAAGGGCAAGGACAAGGGTCTGGTTGGGTCCAGAGATCCTAAAGGAAGGGGTTGAACACTAGCAAGAGTGTGGGGCAAACTTTATCAGTTCCATCCAGATATTTTAGATCTTGTTCCTGTATTGCTTTGCAAGATAACCTAGGCCATTTAGTGTGTGTGTGTGTGTTTGTGTGAAAAGAATTTTCTAGTTTCACTGTACTTTGCAGTTTTGTTATGTGTAGTTCTTGGGATGATTTGAAGGGTATTTGGACTATATACCCAGGTATATGGTGGGAGTTTAAAGAAATTTTGTACCATCATTCAAATAACAGATTGGACTAAGAAAGTCGGAGCAACAGCAAGATATAGGACAATAAAAAGGCATAAGAGTTTCTCTACTTAGGTAGCTGGCTGGATATAGCTGTCTGGGGACTACATCACAAAAGAACTGAGGATAGCACCTAGGATTATAAGTGTAAGAACCTGTCAATATCCTTTCCTCTGCTCCTCACTTCCCTTGCCCCCAACCATGGTGGGGAAGAAACACCATGGCAGCTGAAGACTTGCAGATGGCAACGTAGTAGCTGCTCAGTAAAGAAGCCACATATCAGGTGGCCAGCAGGTGGCAGCAGAGAGCACCTTAGTAAAGACACTGCAGGTCAAGAGAACAGTTCAACAGAGACATCCAGTAAAGGTTAACAGAGTCAACCATGTAGCATTGGAGACTTTAGTTGCCTGGGCCACTGGTACTTGCTACCATATGTGTTCTGCACATGTGTATACCCATCCCTGTGTGTAGTCTGGACAATATTATCTATGCATGTGCCCCAAATATTGTCTAACATGTACTCTTCCCTGGTGGTGCAGTAAACTGTGGGAAAGTATACTCCTATTTGCATGTGGGGAAACCCTCCTCATTTATTTTGCTATGCTGTTTTATTAATGTCTTTTGTATTTGAACTGATGTGCCATCTCATTGGCCTATCAAAAGTAACCACATGGGGCTGGTGGGGGAGGGGAGTGTGGAGGGGCTGCACATGAGATGGCTTTGAGTGTATGCTCACCCACAAAGTGCCTTGCCCTGGGGACAGTTTTATGGGGGCCCATTGTGAGGAGGGCCCTCAGTACTTCATATAAAGAGGAATTGGCCTACATGATCTCTAAAGTACTTCTATCACTAAGATTCTATGTTTCTATGGGTGGTTCTTTGGTGAAGATGACTTAGGTCCTAGAGTTAATAAAGTGTGGTCAGGGTCTCATTTGGGGAATTTTTCTGTGGTGGTATTCATATAGCAATTAACTTTTGTGTGCGTTTGAAACAGAAAGCTTTGTTGACAGAGAACGTGTCCACTTGAACTCCAAGGCCAGGAGTTAAGATCCCTGTTCTTGCTGTATGATCTCTCTCTGGGTCACAAAGTCTCCCCCTGTCAAATGGCGTGATGTCAGTATACTATCTCTTCACTGCTATTTATTTAGTCTATCCTGTCACCTCTTCAAGAACGTGCCAGCAACTGCCAGCCCTGTTCAGAGAACACTTGAAGAGCTCAATTGTCTTGGGCTGACCAAAAGAAAAGCAATTCTTTGAATCAGAATGAGTCTGGCTGAGAACCCGGCTGTTCTGCTCATGCTCCTGCCCAGCCTATGGGTGAGGTTTCTTTGCATGCTTCTTTCTTTTTTGTAACTTAGTTTGTTTTCAAAACATGGACCATGTAGGGTTTCTCCAGAACCGGCTGCAGCAGAAGGAAATGTTATTAAATTTGAGTCCGTTAGAAGGCATGATGTGTGAGGATTAATTCTTTGGGAGTTCTGGCTGCCAAATAAAGACTTTATTGTTGTCATTCCCCCATTTCCTAGATCCCTCCCTCCCTCCCTTCTTCCACCCTTCCCTCCCTCTCTCCTTTCCTCCCTCCCTTCTTCCCACCCCCTCCCCTCCCCAATAGAATCTAGAGGAATAGAAACAGGGCAAACACACACAGAGATCAGAACTTGGAGCAGTCAGGCTCACGGCTCCGAGCTCCGCTGAAGGGTGGGGGAGGAAGAGGAGGAGAGAGACACTTTCCTGGGATTTATACACAGAGCTAAGAGGAAGGGCGGGTGTGCACAGGTAAGGTCCAACAGGGAAAGAGGGAACAAGATATGCATCAATATCTCCTCTAGCAAATTTCTTCTTGATCTTTCCAACTTGGTAACCTAAGCTGATACAATCTCTGTCTTCTTTTCTCTTCCCTGCTTCCTCCTTTCCATCCTGCCTTCATCCCTTCCCCTTCTTTCTTTTTTTCTTTCTTTCTCTCTATTATCCCAATGTTTAGTTTCCCTCATAGCCCCCCTTCCCAATTCTCTTCCTCCTCCTCTTTTCTCCCTCCTCCCCCTACAATAAGCTATCTATTTGTTTCAAAAGTAAAACTTTCTTGGCACAGATGTTTTCTGTGAAGCTCAGAGCTCCATGTAATATTTCTACAAATTAGGTGTTTCCATAGAAACATGGCTAGAGAGCCTGCTTCCCCACACCTTTCACACATTGTCACACACACACATACACACACACACACACACACACACACACACAGAGGCTATACTCTCACCCACACCCACGCAAGTGAACAAAAAGTCACATGTGTCCTGTATAACTGCTTTGGTCCTTTGATTCCTCCTGACACACAGAACTGGGCTCTATACCACACACACACACACACACACACACACACACACACACACACACACACACACACACACACACACATACACTAATACACACTGAGTCTCTCTCACTCCCCCACACACACACCCACATTCTCTGCGTTTGTCTCAGGCTCTCACAAATGCCTCCTAAGCTGTAAAAGCAAAAGAAAGAGAGGGAAGAGAACCTTCCCACTGAAACCTCAGGACAGAGAAGAAAGTGGGGGAGTCTTACAGGGTAGGCTGAGCTGAGAGGAGATGAGCATGGTGTCTGACTAGAGAGGAGGAAGGAAAGAAAGCACTCTGAACCTTTACAATTTCTTGCAATCAGCCTTGACTTTACCTGCCTTTCTTCTCCAAACCATGTTTATTCTGTCAGAAAAAAGAGTGGTATGAATTCCAAGGCATGGCTCACTCCTGAATTTCCTTATTTCCAGCTCAGAGGAGGGATTAACCTTTTCTTGCCTGGTAACCAGAAAAGGCAGTATTGGTTACTACCACCCACCCACATCCACATTCTTTTTTGACTTCTCTATTGGGCAGGTTAGTGAGAAAATCTCAAGGTAGGAAAATAAGATACCAGCTAGAGAGGAGAGACGTTGGAAAAAGCAACTGAGGAAAGTTCTTCCCGAAAAGAGTGGTTTCCCTCTCCCCTGGCCTTAATTAGTGTCACAGTTTCATGGATTTAGAGGTGATTTCAGAAGTCATGGAATCACAGAGCTGGAAGGGACCCTACAGGCTATCTCATCCAACCTCCTCATTTACTGATGAGGAAACATTGAGGCACATTTCAGAGGCACTTTGAGGGGAGATGCTAATCACTTTACAGGTGAGAAAACCCAGGCCAAGAAAAGTGGTCACCTGGTCACAGAAACTCATATTAGAGATGAGATTTGAACCCAGGTTCCCTGGTTCTGAATACAGTGCTTTGAAAATGATAGATTATAGCTACACATTTTCTGGAACTTTTAGGGGTTGGTCCACTTGAGATATCTTAAATGGGGATCTTTTGAGAAAGGACCAGCATAGGCAACCCTTCAGAATGGGGCTCATTTCCATTCTTTGGGAGGAGGAGAGGAGAATTGATTCTGTGGTTGGTGGTGGGCTGCAGCTAGAGGAGGAAGCTGGCATTTGCCACATGCTTCCTTGCCCCGTTCCACTCAGGCATTGACATCCAGTTGCTTAGGCACAGTAAGCAAGGAAGCCCTCCTAATTTAGCTCCAAAGAACTTGTTTTTCCTCACACCTGCCAATCTTCCCTCCCTCAGACCCCAGGGGATTGAGAACACAAAGTCGTCCCATCCCTTCTCCTCCAGTTTCACCCCTGCTGTTACACAGCTGCACAGAAGGGTCCTTGAAATCTACAGATGGTGGTGTTTTGAGCACCATATCTTTAGCATTCATGACATGTTCATGCCCATGGGAGTGACCAAGAGAATCCAACCATGCTATGCTAAATGGGGGTGAGGATGGGGGAAGGGAAGAACCTTAAAAAGAGGCATAAAATGGTATCTCATGTACCAATGACGGCGGAGATCAAAGAAGCGGGGCTCTGGTGAAAAATAGATTGGGAGGGACCCCGAAAGAGCATTGTATTTATTCCCTTGCTGCAGGGTAGGACTGTCCTTTAAACATTAGTAGTATGTGAGAAATGGTATTAGACTAGGAGACAGAAGATCTAGTTTCTCATCCTACCTTAGCTGTGTGACCTTGGGCAAGTTCTTAAGATCTCTGAGTCTCTGTGCCCTAATCTGTAAAATGAGAATAATGAAGTCCTACCTCCCTGGGTTGTCATAAGAGTCAAATGAGATTATGTGTGAAAGTGCTTTGAAAATATGACGTGACGCACCAAAGTAACAGGTTGTTATTACTAACAATAATATTAACTACTAGATCATAATAATAACCACCCATGAGAAAAAGAATCCAAGGAATCAGTGCTTTGGAATCTTTTGCCAAATTCTTCTGGGTTTTCACAATCTCCTCTGCAGCCTTGAATTCTGGGGGGATGGGAAGACAGAATGGGGGAAGTCCTGGAGGGACTGACAGATAGGAAGGAGTATCTCGCTCTTAGGAGCAGCTTGACCTGGGAGAGAAAAAATAACCCTTAGAGAAAATGTTAAGTGACTAAGTGCTCAGATGACCATCTCCAAAGCTTCTCCCCATCTCCTCCATCTCTTCACATGAAAAACTTGTTCTTGGTCCTATGCCACAACTCCAAAGCAAACTCTATCCTGTTTACAATTCTCTCCGGCTGGCGCAGGAGAGATAGAGAAAGTGCAGAGTCACATGCATTTACGTCGTGTTTTTTGCTTTGCAACACATATTCAGGGCTCTAGTCTCATTTGAGCCACAGCAACAGGGGTGAGTAGGGAAAGCATTAGCCCCATTAAAAAAACAAAAAACAAAAACAACTGATGAAGCCACAGGAACTCCAGGAGGTGAATTACTTTGTTGACGGATTATAGACTGAGGATATTTTGAGTTTGAAAGAGGTATCAGAGACACTGTAGACTAACTCTTCATTTTACAGAATGATAAACTGAGACCCAGAAAGGGGAAGTGATTTTCCCAGAGTCACACAGCTGCATAGTGTTGAAACTAATACTGGAACCCAGGCCTCATCCAAACTAATGGTCTTTCCACTGAACTACGGCCTCGTTTAGTCGGGGGTAAACACTTCCAATCCAATTCAATAAGCCATTATTCACCACCCACTATATGCAAGGCACTGTGCTAGGGATACAAAGAAGTGAAGCAGAAAATAAGCATTTATTATGTGCCTACGATGTGTAAGGCACTGTGCTAAGCCCTTTACAACTGTTATCTTCTTAGATCCTCACAACAACCCTGGGAGATAGGTGTTACTATTATGTAGTCAAGGAAACCAAGGCAGACAGAGATGCAGTGGCTTGCCCAGGGTCACACAGTGAGTGAGTACCTGAGGCTAGATTTGAACTCAGATCTTCCTGACTCCAAGAAGACAAAATGAAAAATTAATCCCTCAAATATTTTACATTCTATAGGATTAAGTTTAGATTCACTTGGATTTGTTTTACTAGTAGAGTGATAGCAAAGCCACATCAAAGAACAGTTCATGTTCACTGTAGTCTCCACAACAGATCCTTCTTCACTGTCCCAGTTCTAGGCAATTAGGTGGATAGAATGCCAGTCCTGCAGTCAGGAGGACCTGAGTTCAAATCCAGCCTCCGACACTCATTAGTTGTGTGACCCTGGGCAACTCACTTAACTCTGTTTGCCTAAATTCCTCATCTGTCAAATGAGCTGGAGAAGGAAATGCCAAACCATTCCAGTATCTTTGCCAGGAAAACCCCTAGTGGGATCCTGGAGAGTCAGACATGACTGAAACAACACAACAACAGCATACTGGGCTGATGGATAAAGGCAAAGATGGTACACTCATCAAATATGCAAATGACACAGAACTAGGAGGGATAGCTAACACAGTAGATGACATAATCCAGAGAATCATGGTAGGCTAGAATGCTGATGAAACTCAATAGAGGTGAATATAGAGTCCCTTACATTTGGGTACAAAAAATCAGTTTCACAAGTATAAGGAAGGGAAGGCATAGGTGGACAGCAGACTTTACTTAGAGGCCTGTATTCAGTTCTGGGTCACACTATGTAAGGAGAAAGTCAGAGAGTGGATATATTAGATAATCACTTGTCTGGTATGTTACAGTTGAGATTCTTTTGGGGGATTTTAGGGATTGGACTAGATGGTCACCAAGGTCCCTTCAATTCTAAAATTCTGTAATCTCATGATTGGGGTGGGATGGAAAAATGAAGGGGGGCCATTGCCGCTAGAAGCTGATTGCCATAGGCTAACTAGAAGAATGCACCTCTGAGACAGTCAAAAAAACTGTCCATCTTGCCAGACATTCTTTCTCATGGTTACTTTAGAAAAGAGGGTGAAAGGACCAGGGTGGATCTATACGTATTTGGGCAATTAGGCCTGGAACAGAGGCTCGGACTGAAAAGAGAAACAAAAGGTCATTCAGATCTCCTCTGGGGCGGGCTTCCTGGATGGAGAGAAGCTGGCCATTCTCCACCATCAAGGAGCTGTGTGTGTTAAGCAATGTGTTGTAGGCAGATTTTAACTTGACAGTGATATAAGTTATGTTCAGACATATGAATAAACAACATGGTATAAAGATAGCCTTAACCCCTGCACTAACCTCAATTTCAATAGCCCAGCCTGGATTCCGATACTAATGCCAGCCTCAACATTAACTCAAACCATAACCTCAATGGTTAGGTCAAATCCCAGTTCCAACCTAAAGCCCATTCAACTGGAATCCAAGAGTTCACATTGATGCTTAGTACAAGGGTCACCTTGGGCAAGTTACTTCCTCTAAGGTCCCTCCCAGCTCCACATATATTTCTATGATTCTTTGATCCTATG